GTGAGGCACCCTAAGGTACTGTCACCACGCGGAGGAGTTATGAGAGAACACCATTGAAATCATTCCGCTAGAATGGTACCAAATCTTCAAACGAGGCCCTACTCTCAAGGAGGGAGATTGGGTAGCGAGCACAGGGACCCCGCTGAGTATAGGCCTAATCCACATGGTCTCACCTCAATTAGTCTTGGTCGAAAACTATGCCATTGCGAGATCAGGCATCCTCCAGGGGAGCGGGTCACCTTTCAAATGGAGAGAAAAAACAACACTTCAAAGAGTACGAGTATTAGAAGAGAAGGGACAAAGGGTGGTGTTCCATCCAGAAAGACCAATTTAAGACCTACCTTTTGACCCGACAGAATGGATCTGGCAGCATGCTCAAATGAGTTTAGTGACTAGAACAGGCTATACCAACCTATACCAGATATCAGTCAAAGCCGCCTACAGGATGCTTAAACCCAAAAGACACTTAAAACATGTGATAAACGATAGATAGGCTAGACACTTGAACGTGGACCGTTTCCTCCTTTCACCAATCAAATGGCTTAAGGAACAAAAATCAAGGCCTATGAAAATTACCTCCCTACAGTGGCAGATAGCTCACCGCTGCCTACCAACAAATGATTGGTTGACAGATCGCACAAACCTCGAGCAAAGGGGACTACTGCTCCCATGGTGCCAGAGATGTCAGAACCTTTTCCCCTTCTACAAAAAGGCAGGAACCATTGAGCACATTTTTATGCAATGCCCGATTGCGCATGGGACCGCATCTGGCGGAAAATGGTACCGGATACACCCTGGCCCTGGACATGGCAAGCTATACTGGCGGGTCATTGGCAGCTGGCAGCAACAGTCACAACATTCGTAGAGAACATCTACAGACTAGGTAGAAGGGCGGTGAAATGGGCACTTTGATGGTAAATATGTACTCTGGCCATGGCAAAGGTAAGGGTGGAGGGGCCAGAGATTGAGGAACAGATTCGGCAGCAGATCCAGCTGAAACTCACACAGAGATGGTCAGACACAAGATCACAGCTAGATCTTCTTAAGCAAATAGGAGACGTCAGGAGACGGATCACAATTTTTTATACAAACTGGATAGGGGGTGAAAGGGAAGGATGGATAACAAAGGTGGAGTGGGGTGGCGACAGACAAGAAGGGACACAAGATTTAGAAGAGATGAGAGACTATCAATTGGTCTTTAAAGACTGGACTAACGTAGAGCCCTCATTCCCGCTGCGCCCTCCTGCAGATTTCCCAGACCCCTTCCCACCCCATGCCCTGTCACTGGCGGAAATCTTATCTTAACATGCTCTGAACCTGTCTTGAACTGTCTTGAATCAATTGCCTCGAACTGTTTGGTACTGCAGTTAGAGGAACCCTCCCCGATGCCCCCTGGGGAAGGTTCCCGCTAATCATGACATCAATGGCCAGTTGTATCAGTGCTTAATGTTTCTTCTAGCGCCCTCCTCCTTGGGGTGAAGAGATACGGAGGACAACTAAACACAATACATATACCTGCTCAGTTAATCCCCTGAGATACAAGGTAATCAATGCTGGCAGGCCTCATAACCACGGTTCCCAAAATCTTCTGTATAATTTTCTGTTTAAACCACCAGTACTTGGCCCAGCTATCAAGTCCGAGCTTCGGCCGACCGGTATGCCGAGCCTTGTCGAGGCTTGAACTACCGGGCGTTAACTTCCCGAACGTGCTTGGAGACGAACACGGAATAAAGAACAGGAAAAAAAAAAAAAAAAAAAGCAAAAGCAACGACAGAAAAACGGGATTTACTGTAAATAACATGGGAAAAATAATTTAAAAAACGGTTACTAACTCCTCGACATGCACAAAAGACAATAATCAAGGCGGTGTATCTTTCCATGTTCTGGCGGAAGATTCACTCTCGTTTTCGTTTTCCGTAACAAACGAGAGAGAGCGAGAGAGAGAGAGAGAGAGAGAGAGAGAGAGAGAGAGAGAGAGAGAG